TTTGTTGGAGCGTACCGTTGGAAGGAGATTCTTAAATTCCCGTGGATTTCGCGTAAGTGTCTCTGCTTACGGGTCCACCCCTCCGTTTTTGGCCCTTCATACAGCGATATAGTGAATTCAGATCGGTAGCTCAAATTGATCTTGCTATTAAGTGGAGCTGCATACAAGACAAGTCTTGAAAGGATGGTGGATACCTTACATACATACAATAATAAAAATTAAAAATTTAAAACGATCTCACCAACTTTTACTGTTTCTTCACCTTTCTGACCAATGTTTGTGCCTATGTGTGAGCTCGTTGTCTTCCTCTGCATCACTGCTAGTCGCTACTAGTCTTCCATGTTATTTCTGATGTTCATTTAATAATATTGAGTACGCCAGAACTGGGATCGAGAAGAAGATGAATTGTACACGGAGAACCAAAACCACCCAACGGTTGAGTTCTTTAAACTTACTTTTGAGTTGATACTTCTCACTTGCTCTCTTGTTGTTATCAAAAACGAAAAGAGCAGAACAACCCAAAATTGAGTTTCATTCACTCAACTCGACAGTTCCGTGCGCCAAATTAAAATTGAGTAAGTTGTGTAAAACTCAATTTTGAGTAGTTTGAACTTGACGTTGAGTGAAAAAAACTTAAAAGTAAGTAATCCTGTTAACATGCGAGTGAATGACAACAACTTAAAATTGAGTAGGCGCTAGAATTCTAAATTGAGTTGACGCACGGAACTGCCAACCTGCGTGAGAAAAACTCAAAATTAGGTTGTTAGAAATGTTGCCTTGTATGATTCAGTTATTATTTGTGAGAAATGGACGATGATATCCAAAAGGGACAATTACGTTATATCGAGGTATACCTGTATTGACATAGGGGAATTTACGTATTCTCGGCAACCTAAGCAGCGACCTTCTTTCTATAGCCTTTTTCTCTAAGGAACGCACACATATGCAGTATTGGTTTGTTTACTATCTTTTGCTGCCAGCTGCTTTAACAATTTCAGTCGAATAAATTGTCAAAAACTGTTTTGAAACGCTTTTACAAAGCTCCAATCTTCTCTAGTGAGAGCGAGTATTGTCGGCAACCAGTTTTTCTTCGGCAACCGTTCCATTTGAACTGCATGTAAATCTGCTGTTCTATTATCGGCAACTCGAAATCAGCTACAATTTGTAGTGCGTGTGTTTCATTTCAAGAAAACCTTGCTAGATTGCTTTTTCTCAGTGGTAAAAATATAGTCAATTTGAAGCTGAAAGCATAAAGAATCGTTTGCATGCATTCAGCGAAGTGTTTTCGTAAGAAAATCCAGTGAAAATAGTGTTTCAATTTGGGTTGCCGAAAATAGTCTGGTATGCCGAAGCCGTCATTTCCCCTATGAACCAATTCCAATTCCAAATTAAATCCAAATCATGGGCAACAAGGCTGTGATAAAAACAAAATTTCTATTTAGAAAACTGGTTTTCCCAAGGGGTAGGTCACACCACACACCAATCTTCGGTCAACATTTTTCTCATTGTGCCTCAAGTGTGCCGCAGGTGTGCCGATTGTGCCGGTCATAGAGCAAGCTGTGATTTTTTTTGTAAAATACGAATATTATGGTATATTTGGCAACCCGATATTTCTGACAGCTTGAATGTTTTGGTTTGCATTCGCAACGGCCCCGAAAATGTCGAATATCATGTTCGGTGAGGATTCCTTCTACCGACGAATGAAACGCCTCTACACCAACTGGAAGGAACTAGAGTTTTCCCGTGATGATTCGCTGAAGAAGGTAGATTGCATTCTGGCTGCTGGGATACGCGATGATCGATACGATTACGGTGCTGTGCGAAAAGTCCATCTTTTTCCTAACCAGCAAGAAGATCGACTTCTGGAAGCAGATCGAGAAGGACGGTGAGGAGGGCATTCCGTCGGTGATGCTGTTGGTTGAAGATAAAAACGACTAAGACAAGGCCAATTTTGAAAAGCTGCTGGAGGTAATCAAGAACTCCAACGATGGCAAAACGTTGGGCGTCTTCTCCAAGGACAACTTCTAGGGTGAATTCTGTGAATCGTGGCGAGCCTTCGTCAAGGACAAGAGCTTAGACACGGTGGACATCAGCATCGCAACCGGGTACATCATGTGCTCCAAGGAGGACTTCGAGGTTATCACCATCAAGAAGGCTTGCCTGGTGACGGTAGACGTATTCAACAAGTATCTCAAGTTGATTAGGTTGAGTGGAAGCAGTAAAAATTCCAGTTCTTGATGAGCCAGTAATCTTCTCCTTTGAGTTTTCCGTATCCAACCGCCACCACTGCACGATCCAATCCATGCAAATTGTTCTTGCATTCCGGTTCGTAGTACACTCCATTTGCGTAGTAGCTGAAAGACTTGTGACCGGCATCGATAGCAATCGACAGCCCTCGGAAGCATACACTTTGACTTTAAATGTTAACCGAGAAGGGAATTGCTGTTCTGAGTTCCTCTAATATAATCAATTAGAGTATGTTTCTGAAATATACAGTCAAATAGCACGCAATGTTGTGAAACAGAGTCGATGTTATAATAAGAGTCCCGCCAATAGAAAATGTTGCGAACAAGCAGCACTGCTTGTGATTTATTTTTCGTCAGAGTAAACGGCAGCAAATTTTTTTGCGTTAGCATCGGATGACTTTCATTCAGAAGTGAAAAATTTCATGTCAATAACGGAGCTTCTGGGAGACAAAAACAATGATAGAACCTGAAAAATGTTCAAACAAGTGCTTGGTATAACTTATAAATACCACAATGTACTAAATAGTGCGAAAAAATGTTTTTCATCTAAAATTACTAAAATATTGTCAGTAATGATGCAATACTTGAAGTTCATTGGCTGTGGAAACAATAATGTTTATTTACTATGCTTGTTTGGTACCCCGCTTGACAGTTCGATTGATACTTCTGGCTTCACTCTTGGCGTGACTCTTATTATAACATTGACTCTGTTGTGAAAAACTTCAGTGACAGCTGTCCAGCAGTGCTCCCATTCTATTTAATGAACAATCCAATGCCTACGAGATTGTGCCGATGGATGTGTCCAAGCTGTGCCTAATCTACTTTCGGCACACTGTGCTGAGTGACTTACCCCTTGGGTTTTCCTAAGTTTGGAAATAATCATGAGGATATTTAAATTACCACCAACTGCTCAAAGTACATTGAAATGAGTAAAAAAATAAATTGAGGACTGCTATAAACCAGACTTAAACATTTGTTAATGATTATGAATATTGAAAACGAATTATTGATGAATAATATTATATCATATCACAATATCAATATCATAACTTCTATTAACAAATTTGCAAGTATGAGGAGTCGTAATCAGGTTCAATATATTTAAAAAAGCAGATTAGAAAATTAAACGGAAGCACCTATTTTTATTTCATGTGTGCTAGAATCTGAAAATTAATATCAAATCATAGGAGGCCCACAGTTAAAAATAGACCAGCGGCCCCAAGGGTGGTTAAGACGGCCCTGACTATCATAATACTATCACACTCTACTTTAAAAATTCTTCAAAATGGTGGGTATAATTTCTAAAAAATAAAAAAATAAACGGTTTAAGCTCTAGGGCAAAATCCGTTTTCTTGGAATATAAAAATCAGCATTCTGTAATCAATATATTAAGTTTTTTTTTCCATGGGTGTACTTTAAACCTTTGCGTACCCAACAAACTCACTTTCATCATGTCGTTCTCTGTCCCATAGCTTGAAGAACTTGATAATCGTAGCTTCTTTTGATAGTATATGGGCTCCATACAACTTAACACAGTTGCATGGGCCGGGAAAATTTCTTCAATTTTTCCCACGATAAATCGTTCCAATTTTAAAACACCAAATAAAGATCCGCCCAACTCTTTCTCGTTTGTCGGCAACACATTTCCCGCGCTTCTTCAATTTCGGTAGCTTATCTTATCTTACCGTCTTCCGTTGCGCTTCTCGAATATTATGATTTTTTTTTTGCTCTGAAAGTCACGTCGAGCAGCGCCCGCTTTGGATCCTACTGATTGCCGTAGAAAAAAAAAAACGTTTTAACAGCAATTTTACATCGAATCAGCCAGCGGCAGCGCGTTGTGAAATCAGACCATTCACCCACACAATGATGAATCAGATTTGGTTCGACGGATTTGGATTTTTCACTTTTGCTGGATATTGTGCGACTTAACCAACAACACGCGGCACCGGCTGTATGCATGAGTTGATTTGGTGATATATGCGCGAGATTGCCGGAGAAAATGTTCAACGGTCTACAACCCACAAAAAATAAGTGACGATAAATGATTGGCAGGTTTCCAGCGGCATCGATATTTGCGGAAATTTATGAGTCTATTTGTATAATGTTTGAATCTTAAAGTTAGAAGTCTTTGATTTTGCGGAAAAAAGTGATATTTTGGTGGTTGTTCTTCTGACATTTCAGTGCAAGATTACTGATGAGTTCACCCACATGACTTTTCCAATCGCCACCACTTTCTCCCACATACGACGGCAACCATCCTCACCAGAGCCCAGCCCAGAACTAACCGAAAAACTTGCATTGTTAATTTATCGCCGATGGTTTATATCACGTTCATAATTTCTTCCATCGCGGTAATTTTCTTCGCTTTTCGCTTGCTTGCTTGATTTTCGCACTTTTCTCGCGCACTCCGTCCCTCATCCCATCCATCGGACCGTCTATTTTGTTTCAATTTACTATTTTGTTGCTAAAGGTTTTTTTTTTCGGACCCTGATGAACTAAGGCCCAACCGAATCCCCTGAGCCCGGCTTTGCACTGTCAAATTACGCCATCCAAGAGTGCGCTGGTGTTGCACACAGAAAGCATTATTGTTTTTGATTGGCATCCATGGATCGCCTTCGGTTGGTTGCTTTGATCGCCACAGGGCGGCGCCACCGGTTGCACGCGTTTATGTGCCTGCAACTGCGAGCGCGGGAGGGGACCGAAAAGAAAAGCCAACCCGGGTTATAAATATTGTTGTTTGGGCATAAGCAAATCACAGTCGTGTGTTTTCCATCGGTAAAGAAACAATAGTCAGCTCCGATTCAAAGGCGGATCAGCACCCCAGAAAGAAGAAGAAATGGCGTTCCTGTTCAAAGTAAGTGCATCAGGGCTGCAGTAGAATCATGGCGGCGGAAGAAGTATCTACAGTAGTTGGTGACAGTGGCTGAAAACGAAACAATGGATGATGGGAGGACAGCCAGCAGTAGTGTGACGGAAGAAAGTGAAATATGATGGACGTTGTTCGCTTTCGTTTGTGTGATAAAGGGGGAAAACAATTAGGCAGCTAATGCCAGCTGCAGCATGGAATGGAAGAATTTGCAAGGAAAAACGGCGAAGAGATAATTAACGATTGTGTGTACCTGCGCACCGCACATTTGTGCTACTTTTATGGACGTTTCTTGGGTTGATGGTTTTTGAAATAATCACGTGAGATGCAATAAGGAAGCAGCCAGTGAGAGCTGATGGAAATGATGATGCAATTTGCGGTAGTTCGGACGGTTCAGGAATAAAGGCATCGTGATACGCGAGAATTCGGTGGCCATTTGGTAACGTGGTGAATGCAAGTGCTAGGAGTATTTTTCAAAATTCTGTTTATGTGATTTCCGCATTTTCGCATACTTTTGTCATTGTGTCAATGTTTATCCGAAACTATGATGAAGTCTAGTGTCAGTTGAAAATTTGTCGTCTTTGGAAAAAAGATTGAAAGCATCTGGATTTGTGCAGATCAAATTAAATTATTAAACGTGCTTGACAAATTCACATACTTTTCTTCGAAAAGTCTTCATATAAAAATGTGGAGAAATTATTTTGGTATAGATCAATTTAGCATTTTTTGATTAAAGTGATTGTTTTGAATTTTCTCCTAAAATATTGCTTGAATTTGTAACAAATTTAGCAGCAAACTCTGACCTAATTTTTAGTCTAAAATGTTAAAATTGACGGTGGCTTGAAGGCAATCCACTTATGATTGCCTTTTATTAGAGATTTTAGCTGTTCATACTAACGGGGTTCTAAATTGCCTTATGCAGCTAATGTTTGTCTGTATAAGCTGAGTTGCAGCTAAATATGTTTGTTGAGTAAAACTTTATGAAAACTTTTTAAATTTCCACTAATTGTCATTGATTGGTCAGAAATTTTTTTAGAAGCTTGCTAAATCAATAGCTTTTAAAAAATACAAATTAATATTAGAATTCGAAAACAGTAAACATCGTAAAAAGGCTGTGTCCTGAACGCCAGTTTAAATAAAGCTCGTTCGTAAAGGTGACAGATCGAAAGTTATTGAACATGCTGTAGAAAACATGATTTCTTTTTGGTAGTTAGATTATGGCAACCGATCCGGAATGCCAGATTTGAAGACATTAGAAATTCTGTGAAGACAATTTTTTTCCCGCAATTTTTATTCGATAGTTAGCGTTCATAAGAACCAATGTCGCATCATGCTCAAACGGAGGAAATCGAGTTTAAAATATCCATGGGGTTGTTTTCAATATAAATTCAGCATTAAAAAAACATTATGCCTCCAATTGTTTTATGAGGATACGCTCTCGCTCTTTAGAAACTCGCCACATTTTTTTGACAGGTATAATTTGCATCTGTTTTCACCTGTTTGTCTTGTTTATCTTGTTCTTGCTACGCCTATTGTCCTTGAAACTTTGTCAATATCGCCATTTTGCTCATGTACCGTCATTTCTCGATAACTTTTGCAAACAAAGCACCGACGATCAAAGTTTGATGAAATTGGTTGCTCGCCCACGCATACTAACACTGACAGCATGCGTGAGAAAGCTACCAGGTACGCCAAATCGACGATCAAAGTCATTGTTTACAATCGAGATTTGTTCACCAAAAAGCTTCTGAATTTTCGGATTGGCAGTTTTACGGCTGTAAACCTTATCGATTTTGCTCCACCAAGCTCAATTGATTCTGAATCAGGTCCTGATCATTCTCCCAAAATTTGAGTTTATTTGGTTGCGAACTAATACCTATGCTAATACTGCACTGGCCCTTTGACGTTTTTATGGGAATTACTATGGGAAAAGTTAACTATATGTTCTGAACGTCCTAGTACTTTGCCATAATAAATAACGGAACAGCTTGCTATCTGCTGATATGTAAAATTTTATCAGCTATAACTTTGTTGAAGATCACTTTTTAATTAGACTTCAAGGTAATTCGTTATTCATTGATTTCGAAGCCGATTACTTTCTGATGTGATTAATCAACTGCTGTCAGGGCAGCATTGCATCTTGCACTTATGACATAGTAGCCTGAATTTTTTGCCCAATTCTTCGTGCCAAGCACATCAATGTTGCCTACTGAGCAGTTTATGGAGCATGTCAGAAGAATAACATCTTCTTAATTAATCAATAGCTAATTTGACAGTGAGCATGCATAAGGGCGTAACCGCGATGATCGATTCTCTTCGTCGATTTTCTCTTTTGTTAATAACACGCTTGGATTAACATTTCTCATAGCGTTTGTTGTTGCTTTTGATAGCCAATACAACCTGTTACAGCACTGTATTGGACACATTTCAGAAAATTGATTCCCTTAGCTGTAGCAATTTAAAGAGAAATTATTATGAAGAGAATCGATCATGGCAGTTAGGCCCTTATGCATGCTGACTGTCAAATTATCCTAACGTTCAATCCAGATGCAGTCTTCAGCATAGTTGTAGCTGAGAAAATTTCACATTAGTAAAGATAGTAAACTTTTCCGCAGATCATTACAGCGAAGGGCTGGAACGATGAGAGCAAAAAGTTTGCTTTTCCCATAGTAATTCCCATATAAACTACAAAGGGCCACTGCAGTAGGAGTTCACATACAAACGAGCGCAAATTTTGGGAGAATTACCTTGGTGGAGCAAATCGATATTTTGAACCACTCTAATAAGTATGCCTTCAATTGGTACAATTAAAGAGTATTGACAAATAGCTCGAAAATCACACGGTAAGAAAAAAGTACCCAAGGACCAGTTCACTTTTACCTACTTTTGACTAGTTTGTATCCTTTTCTCCTTCTAATGTTGTCAAAAACGGAGGAGCAAAACTACCCAACAGGGATAGTAAAGTTCACGGTAAGAAAAAAGTACCCAAAATTGAGTTCCTTTCACTCATCACGTGGCTTCCGTGGGGCTAGGTAAAATTAAGTTAAAGAATAAAACTCAATTTTGAGTAATCCTGGCGTTGACCAAGTTGACAAAAAAATAATAAATCGGAGCAGACTGGAACCGAACCATGGACGTTGAGATTACGGGGCCCGTGTGTTGACCACTCGTCTAACAACGCTTGTGAAAATGAAATCGACAGTGAGCATGCATAAGGGCGTATACGCGATGATCGATTCTCTTCATCGTTTTTCTCTTTGCATTGCTACAGCTAAGCGAAACAATTTTGTAGAATTTGTTCAATGTAGAGTTGTAATAGGTTGCATTGGCTTTCAAAAGCAACAACAAACGCACCGACAAACGTTAAATCTAGCGAGTTATTAAGAAAAGAGAAAATCGATGAAGAGAATCGATCATCGCGTATACGCCCTTATGAATGCTCACTGTCGAAATGGTTAAAGGCGCATAAAAGCAATCTAAATGAAAATAAACTTATATTTGAGTTCATTTATTATTACTCAATAGTTGAGTAAATTTTAACCAACGCCGCTTTTCTGATTCACTCAACGGCGGACCTCAAATGATAGAACCCAACGTTGAGTTTTTTTTAACTTAATTTTGAGTATTTTTTCTTACCCCATGGGGCAACCCAACGTTTAGTATAATAAATCTACCTCTATGGTATAATCATATCTACCTACGTTTGGGTACAACTAACTTACTTTTGGGTAGAAAGCTAGTGGAAAATTCCATACGAATTGCACACAAGTAAATGAAAACTACTTTGACCCACTTTACCTACTTTTGGGTTCCTGCACTATAATGCCGAGATAAGTGAAAAGAACTTACTTTTGGATACTTTTTTGTTAGCGTGCATCGAAAACAAACAGTCGCCCCCCGCATGGTGTTCTTAACAAAAAACCGTTTTGTTTTTTGATTGAAACAATATATTTTTTTTATTTTTTAGAAAGGGAGATTTGTGAAAAGAACATCGTTGCGTAATAGATCTAATAATAAAGATAAACAAACCACTGCTGGTTATTAAACCGATGAACGGGAGTTGACGTCCGAGTGCAGCTCCCTACACGGTAACCGCAAAATACCCAATAATGACTACAAAGTAAGCATTTTCGAGGGAGACTGGGACTACCCATTAAATGAGCAAAAACTCAGTCTGTTTACGTTTGCAACATTGGTCCTTATGAATGCTCACTGTCGATTTCATGTTTTGTGAAGATGTTTTAAGACATGTTGAAATTGAAGAAGGCTTCCAAACGCGTTTTGAGTTGTAAGCAGTCATGTGAAGGGTTTAGCTGTTGAAATGAATATTTTGAGTTCACATTTCAGGCTCAATCAAGTGAACTTTACAGAGCCGTTGTTGTTCATTATACAATACAATACAAATTAAATTTTAAACGTCAACGTTTTTTGGTCAAGAAGTACAATACAAAAAACAGCTTATCTTCAAGGTTGCAAAGACTCATTTCAGCTAAAATAATGTTTTTCGGAATAATAAAACTAAAAGATGGTATGATGGCATGTTTTACTTGTAACTTACAAGAAGAGGTTACAAAGTATGCGTTGGAAACATAAAACCTGTAAATTTTGCTTTCTATGAGTCACAATCAGCGATTTGCTGATCGCTGAGTGAGTGAGTGAGTGAGTGAGTGAGTGAGTTTGTGAAAAATCGCTGATTGTGACTCTCATGAAGTGAAATAAACAGGTTTAATATGTCAAACACATTCTTTGCAACCTCTTCTTGTATCCTACCAATTCAAAATTTGATCATGTCATCTAATTATTTCATAATTTAGAAAAACATTGTTTTAGCTGAAATGAGTCTTTGCAACCTTGCTTATCTTCCGCTATCCAACAAGCTTCTTCCATCAGAACGGGATTCACTTCCAGTGAAGAAATAGACGCAAATGGTGGTCTTCACTTGGTGGCTTCCAACGACGACAACAAAAGGATCAACTGAGCAAACTGCACATGATGAACAAAGAACACCCCACAGTAGCTGCTATCGAGTATACAGACGATCGTGTGATGTACACAGGGTTGCCATGTGATTTTTCGAAAAATCTGCCTGTTGTGGAATAACAAGTTTGAATTTCTCTGGATGTTCTTGATAATGACGTTTCTTAATATATGCCGATTTTTTTAAAAAGGTTTTCAAATTTTTAACAGAACAAGGTTATACGTTTGTTACTTTTAATTTAAAAAGATCATATTTGAATTTAATGGTCGTGTAGATATGTACCAAGACACTATCATTGGTATTAAGGTTAACATGATTATTTGTAACCAGATTACATTGCATTGTGTAAAATTGTTGTCTATTTCGAGATTTCGTTCAGTTGATATTGAATTCTCCTTGGAATTCTTTAAGCAGTCGGTTGACGGAAGGTGATGAGAGTGGCAGGGCTCAAACTTTAACTCTTCAATTGCTTGGTTCATCCAGAAAAAAAAAAATCAAAAAGCTTAGATTTATCTGAAGTAGTCACAAAATTAAATCCCTTTTCAAAAGTAATACGAAAAACGTTCTAACTCCAAATCCCCACTCTTCTCTTCCGCTCCAGACTATCATCTGCGCAACGTTGCTGTCGCTGGCCGTGGCCGAGTACAGTGTGGAGGAGGAGCACCAACACCATCAGCCGGGATTCTCGTACGCCAAGTTCAGCGGCCCGGTCAGTGGACCGGCCCATGAGGTTCACATCGTGGACAAGCACGGACACGGACACACCGTTGACTACGTGGCCAAGCCGGACTATCAGTTCGAGTACGGAGTCGAAGACCCCAAGAGCAAGGTGTCGCAGAGCCGCAAGGAGCAACGCCACGAGGATGATCTGCACGGCGAGTACCAGGTCCAGCAGCCGGACGGCAAGCTGCGAGTCGTCAAGTATAGCGCCAACAAGCATTCCGGATTCCACGCTGAAGTGTTGATCGATGGAAAACCTTTATATGAAGAAGAACTGGCCAAGCTGGCCCATGATGCCCAGGAGCAGGCCGCTAGGGCGCACGAACACCACGAGGAACCAGCTTCGTACGGTGGCCAAGAAGAGCAGACCTACGGAGGTGGCGAGGCGTCCGCGTCCTACGGCGGCGAAGAGGGTGGCGAAGAGTACTACCATTAAGGCACGATGCAATCCGATTTAGAATACTTATTCGATCTTGTTCCTCGCTGAAAACAATACTCTATTTATTTTTAAGGATCGTCACTTTTTAAAACGTCTAGTCGACACTTTCAACCAAAACGAAAAGCTAATTGAGATTGGAAACACCCAAATACTACTTCGCGCTTCGAATAGCTCTATGCTTTTAACTGATGCAACACAATAAGCTCATACCTTAAATGTGATAAAACATATACTTTCAAACAGTAGAACCGAACAGTACTCGTAGTACGCCGCCTTCCGATGGCCAATGTTGTTCGTATGAATCTAAATGATACCCAACGAAACAAAAAAACGAAAAAACCCATCATTGTTAATTAGTTTGTTACGAACTTGTGTAAATGTATAGGATAAGATTTTAACGAAAAAGAGAGCCCGTTGTGCTCCGCAAAAAATAAATAACGATTACTGGAATTTTAACTCTGCTGTGCATTCATTGATTGCTTTTTATGAACTTTGATTTACAGTTTACGAGATGCCTATGCTTTACCATATCTTTTTTTTTGTAAATGTTAACCCTTTCCTTCCTATGAGGTTTTTAGTTGTTTTGAGTTGCAAATATGTGTTTTTGAAAAAAAAAGTGCCAGAACAAATGATCTTCAACACAGCCTAAAACCATAGAGGTAACTCTAAGACTAGTAGGTCCCGAAGAAACGTGCTCAACTTTTTGGCTCAGCTCTGTACTATCTTCGGTCCCAAGCTAATCGATTCACCGTTTGAAACATAGGAAAATCCACTAATCCCTCATTTTATCTGTCAAACTTTCCTAGCGAATCAAAACAAACATTGCATAGTACTAGAATTTCGACTAGAATGGGGTACGTTAATCGATTTGCTTGGGACCAATAGGCTAGTCAAGTAGTGAGCCAATTTAAAATCGATAGTTTCGTATTGATTGTTGGTAATACCATGGTACTTCGGACAGTAATTTTTCAGGTGAAAATTTCATAGTTGTGAGTTGAATACCAAGGAATAGGAGCAAAATTCAACGGTAATTCCAACGTATATTCAATTAGAATTTAAACAATACCTCCAACGGATTTCTTAGGAATATCCTTAGAAAATTCTGAGCTAAATTTCAAGTGGATTTCGAGGAGTATTCTAAGGATATTCCGGTGTTATTTTTTTTTCAGATAATTCAAAGGAGAATCCCAGCAGCATTGTCATTGGCCATATCTTGCTGGACCTTATTAATGAATCATTATAAACTGGACATGTGCCACAAATTTGTAAGGAATCCTTAGTGGTCCCTATTCAAAAAAATGCTGGAACGATTAAAACCGAAGAGTTTCGTCCCATCAACATGTTGCATACATTAGAGAAAATTTTAGAACTTGTTGTTAAAGGCCAGCTGTTGGAGTATTTAAATAGTAATAGTTTGTTGATACCAGAACAATCGGGATATCGGGAAGGTCATTCTTGTGAAACCGGGTTGAATTTGGTATTAGCGAAGTGGAAAAATAACTTGGAGTGTAAAGATACGATTGTTGCTGTTTTTTTGGATCTTAAACGCGCTTTTGAAACAATTTCTAGGCCCTTATTGTTAAGATCAATCAAGCGCTTTGGAATTACGAGTACTGCATATAAATGGTTTGAAAGCTATTTGTCTGACAGAACTCAACGGACTGTTTTTAATGATTCTGTTTCCAGTCCCGTGGGGAATACCCTTGGAGTGCCCCAGGGAAGTGTATTAGGGCCCCTGTTATTTATTATGTATATTAATTACTTGTTTTACGATTTTGCGATATTAATCTTTTCGCAGATGATACAGTGTTATTCAATGCAGCTAAGGATTTAGATGATGCCGTTTTACAGTTGAATGAAGATTTGCGTTCTCTAAGTAGATGGTTGAAGTATAAGCAGTTGAAATTGAATACAAGTAAAACTAAATTTATGGTAATTTCGCGCAATCGAGTAAATGAGAACGTCTCTGTTGTAATTGATGATGAGACTATTGATCGCGTTCGGGAGATTAAATATCTTGGCGTGATTATTGATGACACACTTAAGTTCAACTCTAACATTGACAATGTCATCAAGAAAATTGCCAAGAAGTATGGAATTATATGTCGACTGAAAAACGATTTAACTATTGCCAGTAAAATACAGTTACACAAATCAATCATCTCTCCTCATCTAGACTTTTGCCCTTCTATTTTATTTCTGGCCAATGCAGCACAAATATCGAGATTACAGCGCTTGCAGAATAAAAAAATGCGTTTGGTTTTGAAATGTAATCGATTTTGTTTGCTAACCTGGTTAAAATGTCATATTTAATTATCTTAATCATCATTAGCATTATCAGCATTTCGAAGAATTTTTGGGATCTCCTAGCAGAACTAAAAGAATATTCCTAAGATAATTCTATGGGAATTTCAGGATAATATTAAATAAATGCTGAGGAGAACTCCAAGTGAATTTTCAGGAGAATTCTTCTGGCAATTCCTAGCAAGATTTTTTAATAATGTAATGAGCATTGCAGAGTCAATTAAAATAGTTTTCTTAAGATGTTGTAATACCTCAATTTAAAATGTTTCCATTTTACATTTGGATTGTATTTTCGAAAAATGCGTGGATCATAGGTTAATGAAACTATGGTACCGTAAAACGGGGTATCTTTGATAATGCGGGTAACTTTGATAGTATAATTTAAAGATTAAATTTACTCGTTGTGCTTTTTCTAAATTAGTAACATTGCTTTAATATTGTAGTTTAGGGTATTTCCGTTGATATCGTATATAGTTCTTATATAGTATGTGCTACATATTTTACAAACATATTGAAAAACAAATTTCGTGTTTTTCGCCTGTTTGAAAAAGCACTCAAACCATGACTTATGAAATGTATTTACGATATAGCCATCACAAATTCAATGTTGTATTCTTATTGTTATGATGTTTTCTGATTATGTACTCATTCAAAATTTCATATTTAGAGAACTGAATTGTTTGAGTTTGACTCATTTTTTTCTACATTCATTGAGCACTATCAAAGTAACCCCAAATCAAAATACTGAAGTTCGGTCACAGAACTTAAAAAATAGTGCAAATGCTTTAATTTCCGTTAAACATATTAATAACGCATTAAGTCTTGGATCGTCAGCACTTGTTTTAAAAATATAAAATTTGAAAAACATTCATTGCTGTAAAAAATATTTAGAATATACTTTAAAAAACTATCAATGTTACCCCGTTTTACGGTACTTTAGGGTAGAAACATTCGGAAAAACCTGTCCCAAGACGACCTAATGACTTATTCAGCCTTGTTCGGTCCAGTAGATCTTCGGCACAGTAGATGTTCGGCACATGAATAGCAACTCCTGTTGTAGAAGAATTCTGCTTTTTTTTGTAATTCAAGAATTAGATCTGGGTAACTATGCTATTTAATATTTTAAAACGCTATCTCGACGTTTCATTCCTCACTTCGTAAATAGTTCTAATAATTAGGTAATGTCTTCTTATTAGGTAACGAAGCAAACGCGGAGCACCTTCTTGATGCAAGTTCGCAGATCGCATAAAGATTATCATAGTTCATATCTAAAACGCGTGACGTGTTTGAGAATAGATTTACTCTATCAGGAGACCATAATTATTTCAAATATGGTAAAATATCTCTGTTATTGGACGTCGTGTTACACAGTGTTGTTAGCTTTTAAACTAGTTGTGCAAGATCTTGCAATATAAACTTTTGACGAATTCGTACAGATAGAAAATCGATGCCTACATTTTTTTGGGTGACTGACAAATCAATTTGCATAATTCTATTTCTGAAAGTTTTCTGATAAGGTTAGTCACTTTTTGGTAACTTTTTAAAATGATTTTGGTCACTTTTTAGTCACTTTTTATAATGATTTTAGTTACTAATTCACTATTTTTATTGCTTAACACTGCTATCAGCCCTGCCTGTGCGCATGAGTGTTAACCAGGTTTGATGGAGCCTCGCTCGCGAGGCTGAAATGAGCCGAGCGTAGAATTTTTCTGAGGAGTAGAATGCCTACTGCCAAATCATTCCACTGAGCTTCAGAGCTTGTGAGTGAAGGGGTATAAAATGAGAGTGAGGTTTGCTGCCATTCATGTTCATGTTTTCTATCACACGCTTTTACTCTCACTCTGGGTGAACTCTGAGCTTCTTGCGTCGAACGAAAAAGTCATCCGGAGTCTCGAAAAGCGCACCTCACGTCAAATCTTCGTCTCGCTCAAGTTCACTCTTCCTCTCTCTCTCGATGAGTTTTTGTTTACTTCTTCCATATTCCTGCCGCCATTCACTCGAGGTGAGGGCTGGCTATACTAGCAGGACAGGACCTCCAGTGAGTTTGAGGTGTTAACCCACAGTTAGTAGGACAAAAGGTTGAAGGATATAAGGTCGAAGGACCAAAGGTGTAATGACAAAAGGTTGAAGTGGACAAATGGACAAAATGGACAAAAGGTTGAAACGGACAAAATGTTGAAATGGGCAAATGGCCAAATGGACAACAGTTCGAAATTGACAAAAGGTTGAAATGGATGAACTGGTCAGTTGGAGGATAACATTGGTAGTGAACTCTCAAATATGTTTTCTTCTTTAAACCATGAGCAGTTCTTTAGAAAATTAAGATAGCAAATAGTTCCTGTGCAAGGCACGGCAATTTAGGAAACAACTAACTGCCTTCCTCAAGAATATATTCCTTCTTTAATCGTGAGCAGATCTTTGGCAGTATGTTTTAAAGTTCTTTAAAACTCTGAGTGAAAATTTTCCAAACAATATTTTGTCCTTCAACTAATCATGTTTTGTTTTTATTACTTCGGTGAAGTTAACGGTTTGAATAGTTGGAGATGCTTAACGTCAATATCAGACTTAAAGTGAACATTTTATGACCTTTTGTCCAATCGAACTTTTGTCCTCCGACCTTTTGTCTATTCAACCTTTTGTCCACTTCGTCTTTTTGTTTATTTCGACCTTTTATACATTCGACCTTTTTTTTCCATTTAGACTTTAGTTTATTTCAACCTTTTGTAAATTCGGCCATTTGTCCATTCGACCTTTTGTCCATTCGATCTTTTGTCCATTCGATATTTTGTCTATACGACCTTTTGTACATATTCAATTTTTTTCCTTCGCCCATGTGTCCTTCCACCTTTTCCCATAAATTACACATTTTTAGTAACAGGAATTTTAAACTAATTGGTACCGTTATCCGGGGCAAATTGATCATTATAAGTTACGTTTTAAGTTCTCACGTAGAAAATTTTCGGTGATAGATATCTCTCTCTACAATGTCGCATTCATTAATTCTTTGGATAAACGGTAAAGAAGGGAATATTCCTTTCTTTGAATATATAAAAGAGAAAATAATTAATTCTTTGGATGTATGATAAAGAAGGGATCGTCATCAAATGGAT